ATCTTTACAGAAGCCACATTTGTCTCCCACAGAGTGGCTGGTGGTTTCAAACTGCCGATCTTTGGGTTAGCAGTTGAGTGTTTAACCACTGCACCACCAGGGCTCCTTTCCCCCTGACCATCTACTGTGTAATAACTATCATTTTCCCAGGTCTGTAAATAAAGGCATATGCCTGTGAGAGCTGAAGGGTTTGTGTGTCTGTATACAGAATATGTACACGTAAAATGGTATTTCTTGTTAATATGAGGGACACTGGACCTGTCCATAATAATTGAATTGGTTAAGGAGAGTTTATCTGCTAGAACACATGCAGCATAGGCCATTACCTCCAAGGGTGTGGGAGAGAACGCCCTAAAGGAACAAGCTGCAAGTTATGATAAGCTGTCTGTAAGAGCTGGATAAAGTCCTACAGCCAGGTAGCCAATAGGACGGCTGACAAGGAACACAGACTAGTACGTGTGTGAAATGGCTTCCTCCTTCTTCATTACTGTCCCACTGTTTCACCCTAGAAAGACAGGCCTCACTGGGGCCAAAACTGCCCTGAATATTAAACCAGGAACAGGTGGAATAGTTACCCTCATTACCATAACTGTTCATTATTTTATTGTTTCTCTTTCTCCCCTCCTTTAGATGATATATATTATACGTTATATGCTGTATATGCTAAATTGACATATTCATAAGATTCATGGGTTGTTTGCTATGCTTCCAGGCTGTGTTATTTGAACATCTTCCTAAGAAAATCATTTGTTCTCATCTGCACGAACTCTAAATCTAAAAGAAATGGAAAGGCTAAAGGAAGCATACAGAACTTCCCACAGAGTAGAATAAATCAATTTCACTTTAGTCTCACCTTCTTATCCCCAAATATGGTCATTGCACTACCTAAAACTGACATAAATAGGAGAAAGAAATGCATGAGGGAGGAGAAGCTGGGTGGAAGTACTATTAAATGTCATTTTCAAAGATCTTAGCAATTTTACAAAAGCACTTACATATACATTATAACATTTAATCCAGGCTACATTTTTGATGGTGCAGATAATATTATTCATCTTCATTTGTCAAATAAGGAATTGAGGCACACGAAGCAAAAAACAAAGCCAAAACTCAAACACAGTCCCCCTGATTCTTCCATCTACCAAACTGCTTCTCTCCTGATGTAGGATGTTTGCGGTTTGTTCAAAAGGGACGAGTTGGAATCCTAAAAATAATAGAAGTGAAAACAAATTGTATGGTAGCATATCATCTCAATTCCTTTTCACCTTACCTGTAACTCTATACAATATCGCAAACTCCTCATTAATATCTGCTTCTGATCACAACTCTCTGCTACTACTAATTATCAACAGTTAAGTGCTCAGCTACTAACAGAAAGGTTGGTGGTTCAAACCCACTCAGTGGCTCTGTGGGAGAAAGAACTGGAGATCTGCTTCTATAAAGATTACAGCCTAGAAAACCTAATGGGGCACTTCTACTATGTCATATGGGGTCACTATGAGTCGGAAATCGACTAGACGGCACACAACAACAACAATAGCCATCGAAAGCAGTGGTGGTAACTGTCTAGAACAGAATACTCCACCTCCCCATCTTTCATAGCAAAACTAATCTCTGTATCTGAACCTAACAATCAGTTAGATATAATATTCAAAATGCAGGGTCAAAATCAGGAAATTATGTCATGTTTATTTTACCTGTAAAATATAACTACAAGATAACCAAAGAACCCAAGTAAGGGTAGTCCTAGGACTTTTTCCCACTTAAGGATGGGATATGGGCATGTTTAGCGGACAAATCAGCGTAGATATGAAAAGAAACAGCTTCTCCATCCACCCAGTCTTTCCTAATCTCTTACTAGGTGAGTTCTGTCAGGCGAGCTCAGACCTGCCAATAATTTGGACACCAGCCTTTGAGAAAGAGAAAGTAACTTTACTGCAAGGCACAGAGCAAGGAGCCAGGAGGAAGTGCCTCAGATTCAACTCCCCGAGCTATGGGGAAGCAGGGTTTATATGTGATTTGGGCAGCAAGATGGCGCACACAGGCATACTGGGGAGGGAAAATTCTAGAAGGCAGCCAGGAAACAGGAGGTGATGTGGTTCTTGTCGGACTTCTCACTTCGGAATAGGGTCTGGGCGATGATTTTCCTTCTGATTTGCTCCACCTGTTGCTGCGTCCTCTGTTGAGGTCAATAAGTGGTCACAACTGGCCCTTCTGCACATGTGGGACAGGCCAAGTCTGGCTTGGGCTAGTTTAAGGACTAATGGAAATTTACTGGCATTCATAGGGTCAGGTTACACTATATCCAAGAAAGTGATGGAAAAGTATTAAAAGGAGAAGACGACAGCTGGGAAAACTCTCAAATCTCATTTCTCACTTCTCTAACACCAAATATATGTTGATCAATCCAAATCAATACATTAACTCTGTTCCACTTCTGTCTGACATTAGCTGCACATGTAGCACTTTTTCCTCTGACCCTAACTACCTGGAACTAGGTCAGATCTCAAGTTAAGGGCACAGTTCTCCAGACTGCCATGTCTGCCTAAGACCTCAAATGCCAGACACAAGCTTGGGAGTCCCCACCACGCCCTCACTTCTGACCTTCTGGCTACAAATTCAGGGTTTTCCCACTACCCCTTCAGGATTCCAGCCATAGGTTAGGAGTCCCCAGGGCCTCCCTCGCTTCTGACCTACTGACTATAAATTCTGGGGTGGGAGGGGTCCCTCCACTCCTCCAAGATACCACTCATAGCTCAGTGGTCCCCAGTCCCATCTCCTCACTTCTTACCCAATGGCTCCCCCTACTCCTTCAGGTTCTATAATTTGCTAGAATGATTCACAGAACTTATGGAAAGTATTATATTTACAATTACAGTTTTGTTATAGCAATAGGGATAAAAATAAAGAGATACATAAAGCAAGGTCTGGGAGGGTTCCCAATGCTGTTTTCATGTCCCAAAAAGAGACGCACTACTCTCCCACATGCATCAATGTCTTACACCAATTAGCCCACGGAGCTTCAGCATCCAGAGCTTCTAGGAAACCTTGGTGGTATAGTGGTTAAGTGCTGTGGCTGCTAACCAAAAGCTCGGCAGTTTGAATCCACCAGGCGCTTCTTGGAAACTCTATAGGGCAGTTCTACTCTGTCCTATAAGAGTCACTATGAGTCAGAATCGACTCAATGGCAACAGGTTTTTTTTTTTTTTAATTATGCAATTGAAACTGCAACCCTTATCCCCTGAGGTCGGTAGATGTCACAAGGCTGATATCACATCATGCAGTGGTTTTTCTGGTGTGGCCAGCCCCCACCCAAGAGGCTCCTCATTAGCATAACCTGTTAGCTAATGTATGATCTGTAGGCTTCATCAAAGACACTTCAATCACTGGGGAATTTCCAAAGTTTTGGAGGTTATCTCTCAGGAACCAAGGACAAAAACAAAATTCTTTATGTAAAGTTTAATTCTTTACCCCACAATGACTTTGATGGATGTAGCATTTCATTTTTTAAAAAAAAGTACTGAACATGTCTAATATACAAAGCTGCATCTGCCACCACCACCATAAAAATAGTGATAATGGTAGAACTTCATATATCCTGTGGTCCAATCACCTGGCAAAGGGACAAGAACTGTTCTTTGATGTCTTGATGCTTTCTCTTTCTCCCTCTCTTGCTTTCTTCCCCATAACAAAGCAGGCTACAAACATGACTTAAAACTAAAGTTCCTAATCAGGACCACTAAAATCCACATAGTGTCACAGAAAGAACCTGAATCACCCCTTGCCCTGATTTAATAGTTACTACGAAGGGTTCTAAAGTTACATTCAGTTATTCCATGGTTTTTCATGGTTTGACGGATTTGTTTGTCTCTGTTTGCTTTGATCTTTGTTTGGGTGGTTTTGTTGTTGTTAATTTAGCTTTTTACAATTATAACTCTATACTATAGGGTTTAGGAATGGAAACAAATTCCCAAGAACAGCATAACGAGATTATATGCAATATTACATAATCCAAATCCTAATTCAAAATAATCAGGATCCAAAAGGAAATATGTCAAAGAGACGTAAGGGAGTAAATTATACTTATCACTATAATTAACAAAGGCTATATCATTTCTTTCTTACCATGTTAATATTTTTTACCGTATTAGTGATTATTCATTTTGTAATACCATTTAGTCTTTAAGAGATGAAAGCGCTACTATTGTTTGAAAACAGTTTTTATTGTGCATTCCTAACAAATCTTATATTTTAATCATTTAAAATTAATTAGGAATATAATATTTAAAGTTATCCTATGGTAAACTTTTTGTAAAGTGAGTATTTGTACCAACGCATAAAGTTGAAATTTTATATATTGTTTCATGTTGGCTGTATCCATAACTGCCGTAGGTCATTTTGAAGTTCCATATTGACAACAAAGTGATGTACTGTGAATATGGCTGATCAACATTTGATGTTAAAAATGGCTAAAAACACCACATAACTGTCTTGATCTAAGATCTCATAATTGCTCATTCCAGATGGCTCAGTACTGCATTACAGATGCAACAAGGTCTTCAACAACCATAGTGTCTATTTCTTACAGATAGTATTCCTCACAAGAAAATAGAAAATGATAGGCTAAGTTGGTGTGAAAAGGCACAGCTTAATGGTCTGAGATACTGCTCTTTCTTTCTGACCTCAGTCTATCATCCAATAATACAATTTTACCATAAGTGAACCAAGACTGAGATTTATGTATATTGAAAATTGCTTAGCATTTCTAGAACAGCATATGCCATAATGATGTGCATTAAAACTTCTCTGCTTTAGAAAGCTCAATTTAGAGAGTTACTCTCACCAGGCTTAGGTACAGTACAGTAAAATTCTAACCTATCCACACTTTGTTAACGACAACTCTCAAGAAACCAACCACTGTCTTTCTTTCCTGGACCTTCCCAGAGAGGGAAAAAGAGACAACAAAAAGAAAAGGGAATTGTTTATCACTATCTCTTACGGTGTGGGTGGTTGGGGTGAGGGGTCCTCACTGGTCTAGAGAAAAGCTGATTTTACACTTTAAACTTTGGTTCTCTGGTGGCTAAGGGGAAAGCAGAGAGGGAAGATATAATTAAAAATGTGAGGAAGCATTTCATGAGAAGGAAGAAAAAATCAGAATTCCTCAAATGGTTTCCTACTTCTATAGGCAAGGTCAGATAATACAGAAACAAAACCCGTTGCCGTCGAGTTGATTCCGACTCATAGCGACTCTATAGGGCGGAGTAGAATTGCCCTATATGGTTTCCAAGGCTGTAATCTGTACGGAAGTAGACCGCTACATCTTTCTCCCGTAGAATGGCTGGTGGGTTTGAACCACTGACCTTTCAGTTAGTAGCCGAGTGCTTAACCACTGTGCCGCCAGGGCTCCTTCAGATAAAACAAAGCCACTTAAAATTAGAAAGGGAGGAGAGCTAGTGCTGGAAAAAAGACAGCAAAGGGTAGCTCTAACTCCAAAGGAAAATCCTCCTCCAACTGTCCAACTTCTCCCAAGGCTGCAGATGCAAGGCCCACTCACTGGGTCAGCAATGAAGTAACAACACAGAGCCCTTCTGCATGGCGTGCCCAAGCCCTGAGTCATGCCTGCCCTTGCCTCAGCACCACAGCAGTTTATCTCCCAACCTGAACTGATCTGCGCTGATACGTTTCACTAAGTAGCAGCCCCATTTCAAACGAGAAGAATCTGGTATTTGGTGCCTTAATCATGACAACAAAAAAATGACAACCATCTTTTCTCTCTGCTCTGCCGGCATGGTATACACTACAATAATTTCACAACAGCTCTTCAACCTCCTTCTTAAGTAAAACATTACCATAAACTTAAAAAATAAACAATGTTAATTAAATAGATTAGACTCTTAAACGTTTTGTTTAAATATGAAATCCATCAGATCTTTTTTAATTTTTTCCCCTCTCTGCATTTGAGAGAAGAGGGGAGTACCAATAACTGCCTTTTGCCTTAACAAAGTCAACTACCAAGTATTTTTACCTTTCAGAAAATAGAAGTATTAAAATAAATATTATTTTCAGGACAACAAATTATTATGTAAGATGAGCAATAGAATTGCAGACTTTTTTACTTTCCCAGAACATAGCAAGAATGCAAGAAATCCAGGTGTCTTCTAAGACTTCTTTGTTAGAAATAACATTTGCCAGGATGATTTTATGACAGAAGTAAAATTGTACCTGTATTTCTGCAGCTATAGAGGAAGAGGGAATATTTTATCCTTCTTGTCTTGCTGAGATTTTCATCAGCAGTTAAAAGCCCCTACAGTTTCAGTGGTAGTACCGGAGGTTCCTTAATTAGCACCAAGAGAAAAATTAAGACTAGTCTGAGAAGCTCAAAATTTAGAAAATGGAAATGGAAAAGGCCGAATAAGATTATTAGCAAATGAAAATTGGGGCATATAATGTTTTGTATCCTCATCTGGCAACTCAGTAACATTACAATTAGAAAAACAATAGTAACTGCTCTTATAAAGGGGGCTCTGTTACATGGGGAATTATGATCATTTGCGTGGCTAGAGAGCCCTGTGGCGCAGTCGTTAAAGCACTCGGCTGCTGACCGAAAAGTCAGCAGTTTGAACCCACCAGCTGCTCAGCAAGAGAAAGACAGATGTGGCAGTTTCCTCCTGTAAAGATTTGCAGCCTTGGAAACCCTATGGGACAATTATCCTATAGGGTTGGCCTAATAGGGTTGCTATGAGTTGGAATCAACTCGACAGCAGTAGGTTTGGTTTTATTTTATTTTTGGTTCCCATGGATATTTTAAGTTTCAGAAATCTGACAATGACAAAACTCGAAGTTAGTATATTTAATTCTAGGATTTCTTTCATAAAACAAAAAGTTGATAAAAATATGTAATGGACTCATCTGAAATATAAATGCATTTTTAATTCTTTAAAGGAATTCTGCATTATATAAAAGGAATTTGAGAATTAGTATGCAATTCTGAGGATCAAGGCCCTTTCCAGAAGCATAAAATATTCAATTAGCTATCCTGTAGAATTTTTAATTGTGACATTGAAATGCTAAGCAGAGCATTAACATCTATTATTCTTTATGAATTAATGTTTTCCAGGACTGCATACTGTCAATTCTATCACAGCACTTTAGGGCACAATTTAAGGTTTTGGCTTCATTTCTAAAGTAATGCTAAAAGGTAGGATTTAATTCTAAGTAAACTACATTTCATGTAATAATCAATGAAGCATCATTTCAAACCAAGTAAAGGTAATATTTGCTTAATAAAAGATTTTTTTTTAAATATATTACAACAACTTACATAATTTCAAAATCAGTAAGATTTTCTAAATTCCCAACACTGTGCTCTAAGGAATTTTCATAATTTTCCTTCTGGCCGATTTCTTTCTTTCATGAAAAAAGCAACAGGTCTTCCATCCTATTTCCAGGGAACAAGCTAGCCGCTGCACAAAAGTGTTGGCAGCACAGTGTGGAGGCAGACTGAATAGAGTGTTGTTGATGTACCACAGAAGACTTAATCGAAAACATGTGATATCACATAGTGGTGAAGAGCCTTGGCTGTGAAATTAGACCTGAGTCTAAATATTGGCATCACCAATTTACTAGCTCTGTGATTTTGGTCATTTACTTAATCCCTTTAAGCCTCCGTCTCCTCATCTGTAAAATGGGAAAAATGATAGTACCTACCTCATAGGGTTGCTGTAAGAATTATGAGAAAATGCAGGTATAACACTGAGCCCAATTCCTGGTCCATAGGGGGTGCTCAGCAGATGTTATTGCATTAAAACTCTGATCAATCATCTGGGCATTTCTAAGTTCAGTGCAATTCCAGGATGATAAACAGGTTTGAACTTGTCTACAAACTCTAATCAATTGGCAGGAGCTGCCTGGAGCACTGTGGGATCAGAAAAAAAAAGAATTATCATTCGGGGCGCTCTACTATGGGGTAATAGCCATGTTCACCATCCCTGGTATAGCTACATATTTGTTGTCATATAAGCAGTATATCCTCTTGAAATTTTTGCTTTTCACTTAGTTTAGCTTTAATGTGAATAGGAAAATCCACCCACAGGTGTGAAAAGGCAATTGTGAGCAAGTCCAGAGAAAATTACTAAATGATCCAGGTTTCCTTAGCTTTGGTACAGAATAACCCAGTTCAAACTGCCAATGTATTTGACTGATGGATCATCACAGTAAACACTTATATTTTGAAATACATACATTAAACATTAGGTCAAATAGCTGTACGCACTGAAAAACAAGGTGCATGTTTCTAAGTGTGTGACGGAAACCAGAGATCACCTGAATTAAGGTAGTTTTTAAGGAGTGGTGATGTTTTGTTTTTTCAAGAAATGAAATAATCATTCAAAAGAGATCAGTCATAAGCTCCACATCCTACCATCCTGCTGCCAACCTCCCCAGTTTAAAAATAGGTATGATTTTAGAAAAGCAAGCAATGCAGAAAAGAATATAATTTTTAAAATAATTTTACAATAGTGGTTATCTACAAAGCTCATGTTACATAAAATCATTAATTTCCAAAAGATATTTTTCAACAGTTCAAACCGAGTCATATTGAATATTTTTCTTCTACTACAGGGAATATATCAAAATATGGATTTTGTTACCACTAAAGTAGCATAGCTAATTACAGTATCCAGTAACACATGAAAGATTATGCCATGTTCCCCAAAATATCTACATAACCAAACACACTCATAACACGTTTAATTTATCAACAGAAATTTATTCATAATTCTACCCTCACATCCAGTATAATAAAGGGGTTTTACTGCAACACAATGTCACCACTCACAATTTGGCTAATATGCATTTTATTTTTAATTCTATTTATCTTTTACACATCTTTCTTAGCAGAATGAACAGAACATTTCCACTATTACCTAAAAGCTTATATTTTCTTCATGAGCGGCCCTATGAAGTACCTATTGTAACGCAAGTGGTCAAGGTAATTTGTTTGCAATGCTTTTCACTAGATTATTATTTTTAAGAAAAGAAAAATCCTATATATTAGTATTATAATAGTTTGTATCTAGGAATCATAGAATCTTAAGGGTTGGAAAATTGTTTAAAACTGGTTACCAAGGTATATTACATTGTATTAATGTTACTTTGTAGTCCCTGCAGAAGGATCCATCTTTGGAACTCATCTAGTCTATGTCCATCCAGGTCCATAACAACCTTGATTGATGGTCATCCATTCCTTCTTGAATATAACCAGCCAATAGAGAGTATATCAGTTATCTATTGCTATAACAATAGTGCATAACAAACCACCTCAAAACGAAGTGACTTAAAACCATAAATATTTATTTAGCTCATAATAAATAAATGGATCAGCAATTTAGACTGGGCACCTAGGCAGTTTTGGTCTTAGTTATACTCAACTCACATATCTAGGGGTCAGCTGGCCCTCATCTGATTTAGAAAGGCCTTCACTGAGATGACTAGGGTGTCTCACTCTGCCCCATATGTATCTCATTCTCTAATAGTCTGGTCTGGGCATGTTTTCATGGTGCTGGCAAAGGTGTACGAGAAACAAACCCCAGTGTGCAAGCCTTCTTTAATCCTCTGCTTGTGTCACATCTGCTAACACTCCTTTGGCCAAGCAAGTCACATGGTTCAGCCCAGAATTATGGAGCAGGGCAGATCACCTTACCCACAGCAGGAAGCACTATCAACTTATAGAGCAAAGAACATGCATAAAGGGTGAAGAGTTGGATCATCATTGCCATCATCCACAGGGAGTTTAGTAGATCAAAAGGTAGTCCTTTCCAATTATCAGAAAGACATTCTTGGGGCTGAGCCAAAACTTCCCTCTCTTTAACTTCCATGATTTGTTCTAGTTAATTCTCTGAAGCTACAACTATGTAAATCTAATTGTTCTTCTAACATTACATTAAGTGCCATTAAAATATTTTATTAGGTTCCTCATAAATCACATCTTCCGCAAGCTAAAAAAAAAAAAAAAACTCAGTTCATTCCCTTGTATTTCATGTCACTTGAAAAACGATCTTGCTTAGATTGTCAATGTTCCTCTTAAGTCATGGTACTTCATATATGTCAGATATGGTCTAATGTTACCTACATTATTCTGGGTACTATGTATCTACTACTGTATTTAAAAAATAGTTTAGACTTTTTTGCTGCCATTATTACACTGTGAACTCACACTGAGCTTGCAATAAAATAAAATCCCCAGGTATTTTACATGAACTATTATTAAGATAAGTTCTTCTTGCTTTCAATTTCCTATAGAATGACTCAACAACAGATTTCTTGAACATATGCTTTAGCCGGCAATAATCAATAAGGTTTTTTTTCTTTTATTGTACTTCAGGGGAAGGCTTAGAGAACAAATAGTTCTCATGAAACAGTAGTACACATATTGTTTCATGACATTGGTTAACAACCCCACAACATGTCAACCCTCTCCCTTCTCAACAGTTTATTTTTTTTTTTTGGTGAAAATATACATAGCCAAAGATATACCATTTCAAAAATTTCTACATGCACAGTTCAGTGACATCAACTACGCTCTTCCAATTGTGCTGCTATTCTCAATTTAGATGAAGGCTTACAGAACAAAATAGTTTCTCATTTAACAGTTAGTACACATGTTGCCCTATGACAATGGT